GCACACAACCCACCCATGTGCTCGGCAAACCTCATCGAGCACAGATTCATGAGGCTTATACTGCAGCAATCATATATGGAGATATCAAACGAAAATAGAAAATTCGCTCGGACAATTAGCATGGCAGTGAAGGAAGGTCAGACGCACCATGCTATCTGCCGAACAAGCATTGCGTTTGTTTCAATGCTAAATGCAACATTTTCTAGAAACCACACTATATACGCGGAAAGAGCTGCGCAGCGTGCGCTAACCTGCTTAGCGTGTCCACATCGCTGTAATCGATGCTTTTTCTAGCGATTGCTAGAAATGTCTGTTTGCTAGAAATGTCTGATTATTGCTAGAGCTGTCTCTCCGACAGCCTTACAGATGGCGTCCACAGATATCTAGAACTCTAGCTGCGGTGCAACGAGCTTCAATGGCGTTTATTTTTTCGGTGGAGACGGCCCAATTTAATAGGACCGGAATGCAAAACGGATGAGAATTAAGTTCCTGTTAGACACTCTTAGTGACCTACTACGAAGCAATGCGGATGACCAAACCGCTCGCATAAACACACCACACATTTTTATTATTATTATTATTATTATTATTATTATTATTATTATTATTATTATTATTATTATTATTAATGCGATATAAGCTATTGCTGTGTGGCTGACCTTTTAGCGTATATATTAAACTTTTCACTAAAATTTAATGTGCCGGATACATGTCAGAGTGCGTTTGGTTGTGCTTTAGACTGAAATAAATGCCTTTGCGAGAGCTCGAAGAAACACCCACCAAGGTTGCGGTTAACCATGTGTGTGTGCATAATGCAGACGCATGCGCGACTCCGTTTCAGCAAGGGTTCGTGTATACGATCGCGTGCGAGTGGATAGAGGAGGAGGGTCAACCAGACGAGAGCCCGGTTCGCTACCCTGCTCGGAGGGGGGGGGCGGCTACAAGGGGATCGAAGGAGGAAAACGGGCATCGGTGTGGAGCACGTGTGCATTGTTCCTATTTTGTTCGTAAACCTCATGGTGTAGGCACATAGCGCAAAAGGACCATACATAATTTACGAACAGGTTTGCTTTGCTTTCGTTGATGCTCCTAAATGTACCGCAACCGTTTCGCAGTGCTGTACATTTCGAAATCGAGACAATGCTCGAGTTGCAGCGCATATTGCCGTGTAGGAAGTGCTGCGCGGGGGTAGCCCTTTAGCCTTCAAATGACCGCGGAGAATTCATGGGACAAGACGATAGTTATAGCGCGAGAACAGAACGACGACAAAGAGACAAGAAGGACACGAGCGCTTCTTGTCTTCGTGTCCTTCTTGTCTGTTTGTCGTCGTTCTGTTCTCGCGCCTATCGTCATGTCATACCAACTAGCCCGAACTGCCACACTTCACGGGACAAGCCCGCGCCAACAAAGACGAGCTGCGTCCGTTCGGCGGCTTTGTGCGCCACAATGACCAGGCGATTCCGACGGAGCGGCGGGGAAGCATGTGTACTCGCCGCTTCCAGGGAGACAAGTATTCCCATGCGGCACTTACCCTCGAGGCCGTTGGTTCACGTCAGCGTGCCTGATTGGCCAAATGAGCCAGGGACAAGCTGTTCCTTCTCCCGACGCTTCGCGCGTCTCTCTTGGAAAATGGATTCAAGAAACGGCCCACGCATCTTTTCCGCAAACGTAGTCGGAATCAGCGGCGTCCTCTCACGCCATTTGCTGTGTGTACAGTCGCATAAATCTAAGTTGAGTGCCCTCCGGAATCATCGTGTCAGCTGACCATCATTCGCATATACAAAGCACCGCGGCGCACGTCCTCGTCTCCTTGGTGTGCCTAGACCAACTACCACTGGCGTTTCGCTAAAAGTAAGTAAATAGCCCCCACAAGAAAATTCATCGACGCTGAAGTGTGTGCTTAAGCTTGCAGTTCTCACATTTTAAATAACCCATTGAATAAGCGTCTCGATTTTCGGTTTCATGCACATGGCCTTGCACTCCCGCAGACATCTGCGAGCGAGCGTTCACCAGACGCTTGATTCCTTGTATAATGTGAGCGATCCAACGTTCCCTTTACACACTCTGAAAGTTAAAAAAAAGTATTCTGTGCGGGGGGAGGGCACTGCTGACGCGGGCCGTGACAGGTGGAGCAATTTCGGTTCATGGCAGACCGCGCGGGAGGTGCGACCTTTCACGAAGAAGCAAACAGACAAACAAGCAAACCAACCAACCACGGAGTGCTATAGTTTAAAACTCGCTTTCTGTGATCGGGTTCCGTCTCTACCGCGTCAAGTGCGTCTGAATGACGTTTACCCGTTTCATGTGCATACACAACAGGACGAGAGCGACATGAACTGAACGGACGCATGAGGACAGCTGTTCGGCAAGTGCTTCCACTTAAAACATGAGCGCATTTCGCTTTCGGTGAGACGATGAATACATATGCCTTGGATCGCGGCTGATGCAGAGGATGTTTACGCACTCCATACACAGTACACACACGGACAGGACGAGAGCGACTGTGCATGAATGGGCGTACAGTTGTTCAGAAAGTGCTGCCATTTAAAGCAGGCGAACGTTCCGCTTTCGGTCAGACGATGAATACGCATGCATTTGATAGTGGCTTATGCCGAGAACGTTTACCCGCTCCACATAGTATATCATACACACGACGAGGACGCGAGCGATATGAACTATACACGAATGGCCGCATGAGGATCGCAGCAAGTGCTGCCATTGAAAGCCTGCGAACGTTTCGCTTTCGGCCAGACGATGAATACGCCTCTTATTGTGGTTGACGCACTGAGTGTGACATTCGAAAGAGGAAACAGAAAGGTGCACCACCTGTCCCTCTCATAGGGGACGCCTCGACAGCAGCGCACAAGCAGTGACGGGGAAAAGCGTGCAGGCAAATACCGACAAGCATATATACGGCACACACTCGGTGCTTCTTGGGAACGTTGATGAAGGAAATTGCACTTTTTCTGGAACCTTTTTAGGAGCACAGCTCAACGCCATCGGTAAAGGGAAACTAGTGAAAACAGTTTTTAAAGACGATAGTCTTTCTTGGGGTACTTCGAAGCAAAAAGTTTGGTCTGTCTGTCTGCTCATTTGTCTGTTTGTACGTCGAAACGATACCCCAAACGGCCAAAATCCAGCCCCATCCGCAGCGCCCATCAATATTGCCCAATCTTCAGCATTCATACTTGTACGATTGTCAATTAAAGAACAATTAGTGAGCATACCTGAGGCACAATAACAACACTTCAATATTTTTTAGGTGTGTCTCTATACTAGAGAAAGCATACATAAGTAATTCTAAGGACCCTCCCGTTCATCACGGTGCGCTTACAATGCAACATTATGCACAAAAAGGCAAGTGTTTTCAACGCTCTGCTAAGACGACAAGGTAGTGGCACCTGCCAGTCGCTCTGCGTTCTACACCTTATCGCCTCTGAGACAAACGCGTACGCCTTCCTTCGCTTTCGAAGATAACTGCCAGATAGCGCTCGTGTCTCACGTGCCTCGATGCGCTCGTCGCCTTCGCTGCACGGATCGAGGCACACAGCGCCTCCAGAATACAATTCACCGATTTTCTCGTGCAGAACATGAAATAAACGTTTTGTTCAGTGTCTCCATGCAGACGCAGGAATATCGTCTTTTGACGACATTTGCGGTGAAACATGCAGATACGGGGTCATTTTTTTTTATTTTGTTTACATAGCACTCCTTCAAGTTATTGATGATATGATATTGTATCCACGCATTTCATTTTTACAGTGCAGTTGCGTTGGGTGATGAATAGACGCCTAGTCAGGTGACTTGCAACGTCGTTTTTGGTCTCTTGCACCAGGACAATCACATATATTGCCAAACAAAAAAAGCGTACCTTGCACTGGAGCCACATATATTGCCAAACAAAAAAGCGTACCTTGCACTAGAGCCGCAGACAAACAGCGGGGCCTATAGATGTTACTGTTTTTTTATGTTTTGCCAACTTTCTCTTTCTTTTATATCCTCTTTGTTCCTTGTGCATAACTTTTTGTCTTTGATTATTTCTGTTCATTTCTCTCTGTCAATTTATTTCTCTTTCTCTGTCTTTTTATATCTTTCTCCCCTTTCTATCTCTAGGCTCTGCATTTTTATAGCTTCCTGTTTCAATCTCTACTTCACTCTTTTTTCCCTTTCTGCATTTAGTTATCTCTCTTTCTCTCTTTAAATGCACACTTCATTCTCTCCCTTGACTCATCCTCACACTCACTTCCATTTCCTACCCTCTCGCCATATTACACCACACAAGGCGCTGCACTCTGCTAGCGTGCCTGGCTATCTGAGTGGTTAGGACGCTTGCCTTAAGTGCGTACGCGGGCTCGCATCTCCAGAATAAATTTTGTCCCCCTAGAATTTACCTCTTTCTTTCTTTCTTTACTTGCTCTCTCGCCCATCAAAGCTATTGTATATACCAAGTTACTGTATATACTTATCATGTATTCTCTCCTTTGTTTGACGTCAAAAATAAAATGAATCTGATTCTGCATCTCGCACCAGAAAATCGACGCACGTGCGGTCAAAGCAGTATACATGTATATAAAAAAAAACAAAAGGCGAAGAGAGCGCGTGCCTGGGCTGTTTTATGTCGAAGACGGACAAATTACGGCGAGCTTAGTCAGCTTAGCTGTTAATAGATGGAACAGAGACTCATTGCCCCACAGAAAAAAAAAACTAATTGCGTAGCGACTGGTGCAGTTCAAAATTTTGCGCTAAACGCGGCAACTATATACTTCGAAACCTGAGAAAGTGCGCAGCACGGGCACCCAGCGATTCCCGTTCGTATACAGTTCCCACAGCTCCGTTTACCAAACCGTCGATGACGTCAATTCACTGGCACAGCTGCGCCAATAGCCGCGGAAAACACCACAGGAATTGAACTAAACTAGAGCACTATACAGTAGAAACTCCGACGGTCAGAGAATACCGGCACCACCGTGAAGGCAACTTGGCGCACTGTGGGGGCTTACCGAACAGGCGAATTTCTGGCTCTGCGGTTTTTGTCGCGGCAGGTCGTCGTCCAACTGGCAGACGGGGTTGAAATGCGCATTCACAACGATGCAGTCACCTGTCAATAAGACAAGACATATCCAGTGTCAGAACCACTTGGACGTTCACCCACAAAAAAAAAAAATCGTACAGAGAAGCATATATGTATACCACAGGCGAAGAGTGTACGCTTAGCCATGGCTTTCACAGCCTAAAACGGTCTGTTGCGCCTTTGGGTAGCGTGGTGCGGACTCGGGCCATCCGAGTCCCCGGAGAGGACGAGTAGAGACGCCGGAGAAGGAGAAAAAAATGTTTATATACAGTATTTACATGGTAGCGTGGTACAACATGAAAAGAGAATCACACACGAGCGCCTCTGCGCTAGCGTTTTTATACATCGTCCGCCTTCCCAAGATCCCTTGCAAAGAAAATTTATGCGCAGGATACTCCAATGAGATCGTCGTCTTCCTCTCCGTCCCCGAAGAGGGAAAGCCAAACACCGCCTCCCTCTGAACCTAGGAAAGGGGCAAGACATGCCCAGTTCGCTGTTTGGTGAGGGAGACCCCACGCGCCAGCGTGGCACCACAGTGAGATGACGTGGAATCCCATGCGCAAAGTCGCTCCCTGATGCAGCCAGGTTGACTCAAGCAAGGCAGAATACCCCGTACAGCTGCTGGGTCGACGCTGCTTCGGAGTGTTGCTCTCGGCGGCTGACAAAAGCTTGGCCAACGACTTTTGTGTCAAGAGGAGCCGGCGACGTGGTTTTTCCAGATTGTCCGCGTCCGTCGCCGTCCCGGTGCAGGGTTGACTCATCAACAGCTGCCAGGTGCCAGCAGGCCGCGAAGACCACGTGGAACTTGGGCGAGGCACAACAGCACCCCCGCCGCCAGATGATACATCGGGAGGTCGAGTTGTTCCATGCAGCTCGGCCGGGTCGATGTCGGCGACGTTCCGGCAAGGCTCTTGCTTTCTCGAAGGGCCTGGTCAAACTGGAATGCTCCAAGAGCTGGCCTCTGCGCCCCGCTTCGGTGAAAAGTGGGTGACAAGCTCCAAGAAACGACCTTTGTCAGCCACACACAATGCGACAAGCACCGCGTGCACGCCACTCTCATCGCCAGGCCTCCGATTTTACAAAGCAACATCTTATCTTAATAACTTAAGCTCAAGGAAACAATGTGCATACCAATCGGGACAAGTGTCCAGTAACTCTTTCATACGTAACTCCATTTGGAATCGAGATAACATTATAATCAAGCTAAACAAGCAAACTGTAGAGCTCGGGACAACGAGGGAGTCAGTGAAAAATTTCTCTACGCCCTCACTGTAACACATTGAAAAAAAAAGTACACATAAACTAGGTAAAGGTAAACAAAAAAATCAAACAAACCTTCCGCGTCTTTTGACGAGTCAAAACGCTCGACTTAGGGCGTCTGCATTTGTATGAAGGCCACCTCTCTTGTAGCGCACCTCGAAATTGTGCTGCTGCAGTGCTATGCTCCATCTGAGCAAACGACCATTCTTAGGTGACATTTGGTGTAACCAGGTTAGTGGAGAGTGATCAGTTTCTATAATAAACTTAGAGCCAGCAACATAGCAGCCTAGTTTTCGTACGGCCCAAACAATGCAAGCACATTCTTTTTCCGAAGTGCTATAAGCCTCTTCCCTGCTGCTCAATTTGCGACTCAAATACAAAACCGGCCGCTCCTCTCCACTCTGGTCCGTCTGACATAGCACTGCTCCTAAACCGCGTTCGCTTGCATCACACTGAATAGTGAAAGGTTTTGCAAAATCCGGTGCCCTCAAGACGGGTTTCTCACTCAATGCGTGCTTCAGCTTCTGAAAAGCGTCTTCCTTTTAGAGTCCCATTGAATGTTCACAGGTTCGGTCTTGCGTAAACTATCTGTCAAAGGGCTGGCAATCTCGGAGTAATTCGGGACGTAATGCTGATAGTAACCTGTGAGGCCGAGGAATGCTCTCATCTCGGTCTTAGTGCTGGGACGACGATAACCGACCACCGCGGCTACCTTGAGTTCGGACGGTCGACGACGCCCATTTCCTACAATGTGCCCTAAATAGCTTACTTCAGCACAGCCCAAATGACATTTCTCTCTCTTTACCGTAAGACCTGCATTTTTGACCCGTTCCAAAACCATCCGAAGGTGTTCAACATGGTCTTCCCATTTGTCCGAAAATATCGCCACATCGTCTAGGTAAGGCAGCGCAAATTTCTCGAGCCCGTGGAGAACCTTATCCATCAGGCGGCTGAAACAATACGGCGCGTTCTTGAGCCCAAAGCTCATCATCAAAGGACGAAAAGTGCCCAGGGGTGAGATAAAAGCAGCGTATCGACTCGCGCGCTCTGTCAAAGAGACCTGCCAATACCCCCTAACAAGGTCTAACGTAGAAATGTATTTCGCCTTAGACACTGTCTCTACCCTCTCTTCAATGTTAGGAATAGGGTAAGTCTGGTCGACTGTTACAGAGTTCAGGCGGCGATAGTCCACGCATGGCCTTGGATCACGGCCCGGAATCTCAACCAAAATCAAAGGCGAGGTGAAATCACTGTCTGCTTCGATGATAACACCTAGGTCGATCATGCGGCGAATTTCGGCCTCTAGTATCTCTCTCTGTCTAGGTGACACCCGATACGGCTTACAGCTGATCGGCTTGTTAACCGTCAGCTCAATGTCGTGCTTAATCACATCCGTTTTGCCTGGCTTCTCGGAGAAAACGGTAGCGAATTCCTGTACTAAAAGCTCTAAATCTTCCTCTTGAGCCTTACTTAGGGTGTTCCCTGTGTCTACCCTATCGGACAATGTGCTGCTGACCGTGCCATCGGAAAGACAAAGGATTTCCGCGCCCTCATCCTCAGGAACATTGAGTGCAAGGTTTACTACTGCTTTTCGTCGCATGTAGGGTTTCATTAGGTTACTGTGATACACTTTGGGGCATTTCCGGCCCCACTTTACCTCGTAGTTGGTGTCTGAAAGCACTGACAACACTGTCGCTGGTCCCTCCCATTGTACGTCCAGCTTGTTTTTCTTGAAGGGCACAACAGCATCACCTCATCGCCCACTCTAAAGACTCGCTTTCGAGCTGACTTATCGTAACGGGCCTTGGAAAGCGCCTGTGCTGTGCGCATGTTGCTCTCCACCACTTCGCGTGTAGTCCCCAGTCGCCCCAATAAATCCAGTACATAGGAAACTACATTAGGGTCCTCCCCATATCCAGTCCATGACTCTCGTATTAAGTGCAGCGGACCTCTCAAGTTCCTGCCGTAGACAAGTTCAGCCGGACTAAAACCCGTACTCTCGTGTGGGGCCGACCTCAGAGAAAACATCGCAGCTGGTATACACCCCTCCCAGTCACTTTTATGCTCAAAGCACAAAGCTCGCAAAACGCGTTTCATGACCGAGTGCATGCGTTCCACAGGGTTCGACTGTGGATGGTGAATAGAGCTATGCGCGATTTTTATCCCGCAGCGTTCTAGGAATGTAGTCGTAAGGCAGCTTGTGAACACACTTCCGTTGTCACACTGTATCTCCGAGGGAAAACCCACCCGAGAAAAAATAGACAACAATGCGTCCACCACGCATACTGAACTCAACTCTTTCAGTGCGATTGCCTCCGGGAACTTGGTGGCAACGCACAGCGCGGTCAGGACGTACCGATATCCTGATTTAGATGGAGGCAGAGGCCCCACGATGTCAATCACGAGCCGACGGAAGGGTTCTGTGACTATTGGCACTAGTTTCATTGGTGCCTTCCATTTGTCTGTTGATTTTCCTATCCGCTGACAAGTGTCGCATCCACGGACAAACATCTCTACATCCTTCCAGCACCCGGGCCAGTAGAACTCCTGAGCCAGCTTAGCTTTCGTTTTCTTTATACCTAAGTGGCCCGCCCAGGCGTTGCTGTGGGCCAGGTCGAGAATGTTCCGCCGGTATTTTAGTGGAACTACCACTTGGTTGTAGACCCGCCCTTTAGCGTTCTCATACCTGCGATGCAACACCTCGTTTTGGGTGTAGAACGAAACGTTCTTCCTAGAGTTACCTTCCTTATGTATGGCATCTAGCAGCATAGAGAGTGCGAGATCCGCCTTTTGATCGACCACTAGCGTTGCACGGTCGGTTCTGGCTAGCTGACACCAACTGGTGGACGCGGGTGTTAACACCGAGCCTGTCACCAAGTCCTCGTTGTCGGGCGTTAGAGATATTTCCTCGCTGTTGTCGACCATAGCCCCAGTTTCCGTCTCGACAACTCGCATGGCAGACTCATTTTCCGTCGCAACTACCTCAGGTTTTCCTACACTGCCCTCGGACGTCTGTTCCCCAGAGGGTGAGCTGCTCAGCTGTTGCGTCAGCTCGCGCGCCTTCGAACGGGTAAGGGCCATGCAAGCTATTTCGGTGGCAAATGATTCTCCACGTGTTTTTAACATTTCCTCAGACTTATTTGAAAATAGGTAAGGGAAGTGCTCCGGGAGGTTGGCTGAAATTGCTGCTTCCGTACACAATTGGCCGAAAGGGCCCTCGATTACAACCCTCGCTATCGGTAGGCAGACGCTTTGCTTTTCTGCCACTTGCCGAATCCAGGCACACTCTCCTATATAGTCTTCGGAAGATACGCAACTTGGATGCGCTACATCCATTGTGGCCGCCGAGTCCCTCAATACCCTACACATTCGGCCGTTCACTGAGAGTGTCCTCATGTAAGGCTTCAACAGCTTTAAGCTATCCTCTGACTCCTGAATTGTGGCAAATGCCATGTGCCTCTTACAGCTCCTGGCCATGTGGCCCTTTTCTCCGCAGCTGTAGCAAACAACTGGCTTCCGCGCTTCTAACGCATGCGCTATGTCACCAGGCGCCTTTGAACCTGATGAAGGTGCCGCCTTAGTCCCCTCACTGTCCTTTCCCTGCTGATTGTCTAATAACTTGGAATTTTCGGGTTTCCAGTTATTTCTTGCAAACCTCTTGCGTCCCTGGTTTCCCGACCAGCTTTCTACCTTTTCATTTTTTCCCGAAGTTCGTGGTGTATTGCGGAGACTACGGCGTGAGCAGTAATCTTCGGCGAGTTCTGCTG